GGTACACCCTCCATTAGGTCTAAGGAATGTCGTTTGGGAAGGTGCAGGAGAATTAGAATCCTTGTCACACCCTTCTCTAGGGGCTATGATAATATGGGCGGACATTAATGGGTCTCTGTGTCACAGGTTCTTCAAGACACTTGTGGTCGATAAGGAAGTCACAGCAGTCACGTGCAACATCTCCAAGAGAAGGATTTAAGCCAGGACTCTGGGGGCTACAATGTCACACTCACCTAGAGTGTAGGCCCACTCCCTGTCTGTGGGGGGTGAACTTTTCTTAAACAAATCTTTTCTTCTCTCACCTCTGTGTGTCGCAATTCTTTGCAATCTACTCGGATCTCTGGGTTCCCGGCGTGCACCTCCGGGTTGCCAGCCCCGGCAGTGCTGCGCGCCTCCTTTCCCTGTGCCTCCCCACCCTCAACCGGTCCGTCCATACCCTAACACCCTCCTCCCCCACCCCCATGCCCCAGTCTGATCACAGAAGTCCTCTTCTGTATAGATGATCATTGAGAGGACAGGGAAAAAAAAACAACTTTGGAGGTTTTTTTTTCTTTTTTTCCAAAAAGCCTCCTTCTTTTTTTTTTTTTTTTGAGTCAAGGTCTCACTCTGTCACACAGGCTGGAGTGCAATCACGGCCACCACAGCCTCAATCTGCTGGGCTCAGGTGATCCTTCCACCTTAGCCTTCCAAGTAGCTGGAACCACAGGCAAGTGCCACCATGCCTGGCTAATTTTTTGATTTATTTTAGACAAGGTCTTGCCAAGTTGCCCAGGCTGGTCTGGAACCCCTGAGCTCAGGCAATCCTCTCACTTCCACCTCCCAAAGTGCTGGAATTACAGGCATGAACCACTGCGGCCGGCTACAGTGCCCCTCTTAATGTTGTTTGTTTTCCAAATCAGATGATTCTGTCTTGAAAGAGACAAAGCCCTTCCATGCTCTCAATCCAGGAATACCTGCTGAGCACCTGCTGTGGCAAGAATGGCTGGGGGTGCTGGAGGCACAGCAGAATGCCTGCCCTCAGGAAATGCCAAGATACAATAAGCTTCCTCTTCAAGAGGACCCAAAATCATTCCATTTTGTGCCAAGCAGGTGGGCAAGTGGCTCCAGACAAAAGTCAGGAGGCATTTCAAGTAGGCAAAGCTTGTGACGAGACACAAGAAAAAAATGCCCTAAGGATGAAATGATGAGTCAGCCCTGCCCAGGAGGTGAGACCTGGAAGTGGGGACAGATAACCAAGATAAGAAGGGGAACAACACAGGCCACAGCCTCCTACCCCTGAGGACAACTAGGGCACCACTCCCCAAAGCTGCTGAAGAGGTGAAAAGCCAACATGGAATGACTTAATGAAATAATCTTAACTAAAGTGCAGCCATTTTGACACTACCTAGTTCTGTCATGTCTTCTTAAATTACCTAGCGCCTGGGAGTGGTAGCTTAAGCCTGTAATCCCAGCACTTTGGGAGGCCGAGGAGAGAGGACTGCCTGAGTGCAGGGGTTCGAGATCAACCTGGGCAACTTGATGAGACCTCATCTCTACAATAAACCATAAAATAAGCCAGGCGTGGTGGGACATGCCTGCAGTTCCAGCTACTTGGAAGGCTGAGGCAGAAGGATCACCTGAGCCCAGCAAATCAAGGCTACGGTGGCCATGCCACTGCACTCCAACCTGGATGACAGAGTGAGACTCCGACTCAAATAAATAAATAAATAACCTAACATGCTCTCTAATCACTGGCCAAGGACAGAAGTGGTTTCTTAATGGTAGCTACGGATAATTGCTTTACAACCCCCTCCCCAGCTTGTTGTGTATGAATCAGCCTTTCCATTCCAATTGTTTGCCCCCCCCCCCACCAGCTACAAAAGACTGAGTTAATCTAATCCGTGGTGGTCAGCCTTCCGTGACAGCCCACCTGAGTCACCAGATGTGTTATCCAGAGAATGATGTGTTGACAATGTCAAAGCACAGATCTACTGTGTCAACCCCCCAGAATGTAGTTACTGGAGATTTTTACTAACCCTATTTTCCTATAGAAATCTTAGAAGTAGCCAGGCGCGGTGGCTCACGCCTATAACCCCAGCACTTTGGAATGCTGAGGTGAGAGGATTGCCTGGGCAACTTGATAAGACTTCATCTCTACATTAAATCAGAAAAATTAGCCAGGCATGGTGGTGCATGCCTGTAGTTCCAGCTTCATGGAAGGCTGAGGTGAAGAGATCACCTGAGCCCAGTAGGTCGAGACTGCGGTGGCCGTGAGTATGTCACTGCACTCCAGCCTGGGTGACAGAGATTCCAATTTAAAAAAAAAAAAAAGAAATCTTAAAAGTATCCTTACCCCACCCTACAGGGCCACATTGCTCGCAGTGTTGGCCCCATTCAGATCCTATCCTGAATGTGAATGAACTCTTTTGCTTTTCCTTGCAATTCTTTGCATCTTTCTTGTGGCACAGAATCACAGACCCCCCCCCCCCCCCCCCCGTCAGGCCTGGCCTAACAGCTGTGGAACTCTGACCCATGAATACCACCACATCGTGGCTGGGCCATCTCGAGACATACACAGAGCACCAGCTTATCCTCCATACTCAAACACACACCACACACACTCACACAACCACACTGAATGCACTCTCAGTCTTGCTCCTGTAAATGAACTGGTCCCGTTACAGGGCATCTCTCCATCCCAGCTCCATCCAGGCCATCCTGTCATCCTGCCTCACCTTCTCCCACCCTCACACCCTCCCCTGTGTGTAGTTAAGCCCCTTCCCCAGGGCCCTCCCTCACTATCAACCAGAAAGGCTGAAAGAAAGACCAGGTGCAAAAGCTCTCAACAAGAAATGTGCTGGTCGGACTCAGTGGCTCAGCCTGTACTCCCAGTACTTTGGGAGGCCAAGGTGAATGGATGACCTGAGCCCGCGGGTTTGAGACCAGCCCGGGGCAACTTGGCAAGACCTCGCCTCTACAATACATAAAAAATTAGCCAGGTGTGGTAGCGTGCTCCTATAGTTCTGGCTACTTGGAAGGCTGAGGTGTTAGGATCGTCGGAGCCCAACAGGTTGACACTGGGTTGGCTGTGAGCATGCCACTGCACTCCAGCCTGGGTGAAGGAGTGAGACTCCAACTCAAAAAATAAGAAGTGTGCTATAAAAGAGAAGTGTGACTCTGGAGAAGAGAAGCAAGTGGCAGAGACCTAGCTGCCACAACGTGGTGCAGAGGGCTCTCTCTGAACACAGGCCCAGCCAGGCAGAAAGCCCTGTCTGCCTGGGCCGGGACCTCCAGCTCTGCCAGGCTGCCACAGGGCTCTCCACAGCCCTGTCAGCAGCGAGAAGTAGGAGCAGGGTCAACAGGCAGAGGCTCTCCATGAATATCTGTTGCATGAAAAGGTACTTAATGGGCACTTGAAGACAGAATAAAGGAGAGGTATTCAAGACAGGCCAGGCGAAGCTTTCAAGACTTCATTCCAACAGGGGCCTCCAGGGTCTGTACTGGGGGCACAGGTCGAGCTTTGTAAAAAGATCTGCAGGGCTGTAGACTGGGCTGGGGACAACAGCAAGGCTGTTCCATGCATCCTAGGCTGAGGAGCCTGGTCAGGGGAACCACAAGAGACAGTCTTGCCCTCAGGGGGAGGAGGAACCCCAACCTGCAATGATGGACAAGCACTGATACTGGCCAAACCAGTGCCACAGAAGACACGGAAACCAGAACCCACAGCCTCCAACCTTCCAACCCTCATCACGTTTCATCCCCTGCGAGTGGGATGGACAGGAAACAGCTAAGCAGGGAGAGGGGAGCAGGGACAAGATAACCTCCAGAAGTCCCTGGCTGAGAGGGCACAGTGAGGAATATATCATCCCTATGTTCTCACCACTTCCATCCACTCTGGCTCTCCAGTACTGCGCCCTGGGCCTCTTCGGATTCTTCCCCTCTGTGCTCAGCTCAAAATGTGTCTGGTCAAGAGTGGGCCTCCTGGCCTATGCAGAAGCACCCTGACGCGCCTGACCAGAACAAGGACTGGTGTGAGGCCTGCCCACAAGTCCAGAGGTGTCAAAGACTGTTACACTGACCTGGTCATTTGTCCAGCCCCGCCAGGTCTGTCCGCGATGTCACCGTGGGGGAACTGAGAAAGACTAGCCAGGCGCACAGCAGGGCCAGGTAGAAAGAGGACGGGCCGGGCCTCAGGAGCCACTTTGCTAGGGAATTATTGGGGGAGAGCGGTCCCAGCCCCTATCCGGATCCAGCCTCCCCATCTGTCACATGGAGCCTAGGGCGAGCCTCCAAGTGGTGATCCGGGTGCCCACCGCAGTCTTGCGGGCGCGATGCTCAGGTCAGAGTCTGATGGTGGAGAGGGTAGCGCTCTCGCAAGAGGGCCACGGTCCCAGGACCCTTAGAAGCCGGTGGCCTGGGCGAAAGCCGACGCCAGGCCCCACCCGCGGGAACGCCTCGGCTCCGCCCCCCGGAGGCCCCGCCCGCGGGCCCACCCCCACCATCTGGCCCCGCGCTCGGCCTGCCTGGGAGTCGCCGAGGCTGCCGCGGTCTGGAGCGCGCTAGGGTTGAGGAGCTCCGAGAGGTCGCTGGCGCCTGCGTCCGCCTGGCGGTGAGTCCGCGGGGCCCGACCTCGGGCGCCCACGCTGCCTACGGGGACGCGCCGGAGCAGGACGGCCTTGGCCACGATGCATGCGGCCCCTAGCCCAGCCCCGCGCGGCGGAAGGCGCCCTACAGGAGCCGGGGGAGGGGTGAGGAGAGGGGGAGGCTGGGAATCGGGGCTATCTGCGGGCCCGTTCCCAAGGAGGTGAACCTCTACTTCCATCCCCCTCCGTCCCGAATATTTCAAAAGATCCGGGGCAGGGGCGGGCCGAGACGGCTGCCAGGCGCCCTCCTGGCCGGCCCAGGGCTGCGCAGCCACTGGGGCCCATCACCCAACTCTAGACACCCCTGACTCCCCAGCGTGGGCTGGGGAGGAATAGTCTTGTTGACTAGAGCAGGAGGCTCGGCATCTTGTGGAACGTTCTGGCGGGAAGGGGAGAATTAATCGCCCTGGTGAACTACGTTGGGGAACTGAAACCCGCTCCAGGGAAGGGGGCTAGAGCTTTGTTTGACACAAATTGTGCATGCAAATGAAGTCCTAGGATCCTAGGCCTCCTGAGGTCGGCCACCTGGTCCCTTACCCATCCCTGGAGACCAGGAGAGGCTCTTGCTGGCCGGGCAGCTGCTGGGTCTCAGGTCAGCTTCTGTGAACCTGGGGAAGAGTGCAGCCTGGGTCTCAGGTGGCGCTGCCCTCACAGCCTGCCGGCTGGCACTGAACTCCCTTTGCCCATCAGATAGTCTCACCTGACATGCCGATTGCCCTTCCATTTGGGCCAATGCCTTAAGTAAGCCTGGTGGCCCTATGATTGGGTGCCTTCCGGTGGACAGGTGGCGGCATCGGCTGGACCAGTTTGTGGCCTTGCATGCCAGGACTTCCTTGGGCTCCTCCACACCAAAACCTCACTTTATGGGGGAGGAATTGGAAATCCTTCCTCCTCAGGCTGTCTGGAGGTGGGGGCAGTCCTCAGCTGGACTTGGCACTGTTCTTGGCCATCTGGGTTCTTACTCCCAGCCCCAGGACGTCAGCCCAGGCCTCAGGAGCCTGCCTTGCTGCTCTCCCTTAGGGGTCTCTGCCAGGCCCCTTCCAAGATCTGTTCTCTCCCAAGCATCGTCCTTCCTCCCAGCGCCCAAGCTTTCCAAGCCCGGAGTACCCCTCCCCACACCCTCACCCACTGTTTGTCTTTGGCTGAAGGCAGCAGACTCCTCCAACACCATGCTGCATAGAAAATAGAGTACCAAAACCCCACCTGGTCACATTCCAAGTTCTTTCCCCACCCAGTCCTGTGGGCTCCTGCTTCCCCACTGTAGAGCAGGCCCTGCTGACTCACCTGGCTGAGGCTCACCTGGGCCCCTTCCTGCTGTGTGACTGATGGCCACAGCTTTGTCTCTCTGCCCATCTCCCAGTCATAGAATGGAAGAATAGCAGATACTTACAGGATTGTTGTCTTAAGAATTGAATAACATAAAGAATGGAGAGCCAGGCGTGATGGTTCACGCCTATAATCCCAGCACTTTGGGAGGCCAAGGTGAGAGGATTGCCTGAGCCTGCAGGTTTGAGACCAGCCTGGGCAACTTGGCAAGACCTCATCTCTACAATAAATTTTTTTTTTTAAATTAGCTGGGCATGGTAGCACATGCTTGTAATTCCAATTACTTGGAAGACTGAGGCAGAGAGTGTTAGTTCTTTGATCTGGCTTCTGGTTTTGTTCTCTCCCCAGGTTTGGGGAGGGATATCAACTAGAAAGTGCCTTTATGGAGTGAGGGGTGTGTTAGGAGTAAAACACCGTCTCTGCTGCTGGTGCTGGTAGGTCCCCACTACTCTTTTCTCTCCCTGTCCCCATCCACAAAGTAGGAGCACATGGACCTTGGAAGAACAAGGCACTGCTCTTGGCTGGTGCTGATCTAAGCCAAGATCCTGGGCATGGGGTGGGCAGTCAGGCCCTCTAACGAGCAGTGTCTCTCCAGAGCAGGACAGGCTTCTTTGGCTTCGCGAGGCCCTAGACGGGACATCTGTCCCCTCCAGGATGAAGGTCTTCTTGCCGGTGCTGCTGGCTGCCCTCCTGGGTGTGGAGAGAGGTGAGATGCCCTCAGAGCCCCCAGACCTTTGCACAGGCTGTGCCCTTCCATCCCGGCTCCCGTATCATCACCTTCCCAGTCTCTCTCCCCCTACTGAAGTGAATCACTTCCTTCACCTCCCACTGGAGATCGCAGTCCTGGCAGCCATTGTCTCACTGTGTATTTGAATGTCACCCTAGCTGCTTGTGAGCCAGGCTGTGGTCTCACAGCCATTGCCATTCCTCCATCTCTAGCCAAGGCCCTGACATACAGTAGTTGCTCAGTAAATGCCCATTGGAGTCAGGACTGGGAGGGACACTGGAAGCTAATGCAGGCATGAGATAGGTGTCGCTTTTCACAGCCCACTCGCTGGTGTGCTTCTCCTGCACGAATCAGAACAGCAATTTTTACTGCCTGAAGCCAACCATCTGCTCTGAATCGGACAACTACTGTGTGACTATATCTGCTGCTGCTGGCGTTGGTAAGTGCTGGCAAGGGACAGCCAGGCCTCAGACTCCGTCGTCCTTTTCTGGCCATCTCCCTGGCAGGCTAGGGCTTGGCAGAAACTGTCTCTGTCTGCCTGAAGCCAACCTGTCTCTCTCCTCACAACCTCATTTTCCCATGCAGGAAAGGTTGTGGACTTCGGCCACAGCCTGAACAAGGGCTGCTCCCCAATCTGCCCCGGCCCAAGCGTCAATCTCGGTGTGGCGTCCGTGGGTACCCACTGCTGCCAGAGCTTCCTGTGCAATTTCAGCGCAGCTGACGGCGGGCTGCGGGCCAGCGCCACCCTGCTGGGCCTCGGGCTGCTGCTCAGCCTGCTGCCAGCTCTGCTACGTCTTGGCCCCTGACCTCTCTGACCCTGCACCTGCCCACTGCCCCTCAGCTCAGGAAGGAAACCCCATCCCCTCCCAGATCCCAAGAGGATATCAGAGCCTCCTCACGTGCCTGACCAACCCCCTCGGCCCCAGGTCCCTAGGGTCAGGCTCACCCTCTGCACCTACACGGGCTCCAGCCCCTGCCCCAAGTGGGACCAGCTACCCTCACTTCTGGGGTCAATTATGGACCTTCCTTGGGGGACGAGGGAAGGGATGAGGGGCTCCCTGAAGACTTAGAGTCTGGAGTCAGGACTGAGTCCCGTAGACACACAGTGGGGACACCTAAGCCCAGGCCCTGGTGTTCTGGGATTGTGTGCTTGTGAGTGTGGGTGGTGTGGTTGCTGCATGGTGGGTGGGTTTGCTGTGCAGGTGCGAGTGTGAGGCCAGTGCTGTGTTTGGGGGAGGGAGGAGTGAGAGCAGCCTGAAGAACCCTGAGCCCCACCAGAGCCCCTTTTCCTGGCATTGCTGCACCCGCACTGCACTCCAAGGACAGTCTCTGGAGGCCAGGGTTTCTACAGCTTCCAGCCCCAAGCCCCCATCCCCAAGTCCAGCCAGTCCCTGTCCCTGCCCCCTCTCACCCCCACACTGGAGCCCTCCTGCTGCTTTGGTGCCTCAAATAAACACAGATGTTCCCACCCCTTCCTGTGCTGTTTCTGGTGCTTGGGAGCCCCGCTTCCCAGCAGGGTCCTAATATGAGGGGAGGACGAAGCAGAGAGCCCCAGGTTCTGAGGGGCTTGGGGCTCCATTTGGGGTAGTGGGGGAGGAGAAGGAATTCCTTGGGCAGTCCTAGAAGGGAACCCAACCTGATATTTTATACTTTCTCCTGCCCCAAGCTGGGTAAGTCTAGTGAGTTCAACCTTCCATAGGGAAAGGGAGGTGGGGGGTGGGGGGACCTGGGGTCCTTCATCCCAGAACCTGTAGGAAGGAGCACACTCGTGGGCCAGAGCAACACCCAGGGTTGTAGGACCTGGGAACAGGGTGTCTGATGAAGGTGGGCACAAAGCCAGGCCCAGGGGTAGAACCAGATAGGCCAGAGCTCAACTAATCTATCTGAGGGACACTAGAGCCACAGTGGGTGCAAACTAGTGACAGGGATTTCTGTAACATGCTCTGTTCCTGGTAATGCTAATTTGTGCCTCCATTTCTGGACATTTTCTCCTACTTTCTAGGTGATTTTCTTTTTCTTTTTTTTTTTTCTTTTTTTTGGGGGCATAGGAGTCACTCTGTCACCTAGGCGGAAGTACAGTGGCACACTCACAGCCACCACAGGCTCGGGCCACCACGCCCAGCTAATTTTTTTATTTACTGTAGAGATGAGGTCTGGCCAAGTGCCCAGGCTGATCTCAAATCCCTGGCCTCAGGCAATCCTCTTGCCTCAACATTCCAAAGTGCTGGGATTACACCGTGCCGGCAATGTTATTTCTTATGACTCACAAGAGTCATGACACTAAGTGGTTGGTAGGTTTATCCACATTTTTTGAGAAAGGGAAACTGAAGTTCAGAGTTGAAACCACTTGCCCTGCTAGGCTCTGTGACCCTAGGGTCCAGTATGCCCTGTGCTCTGGGATGGAGGGCAAATTCCTTTTAGGGCTGAAGTCAGAGGCAGCCCTGACCTCCTGGGGGTGGCTGGTGGTCCTGCCTGTTTCCTGCTTCCCCTCCCTGTGGAGGTGGGAGGCTAGGAGGGACAGATTAGTGTCCAGGAGCAGAGAAAGCCTGAGCTGTGTGCTCTGGGAGGGATGGGGAGGAGCCTAGGGCACTGAGTTTCAATTTCCTGAAGCCTAGGGAGGGGTAGAGAGAAAGAAGCAGGGAGGAGGAAGAAGGGGGAGAGGGAAAACAGACTCTAGGGCTGGAGGGCCCAGCCCAGATCCCGCCCCCATCCTGCTCAGTTTCTGCCCTGGTGCTAGGGTGGTCCTCTTTGTAGTCAAATCAGCTCCCTGCTTCCTGGCAGCTGCTCACAGATGTCTCTGGAAAGTCAATGGCAGGTCCTGGTGCTGGACCCTCACCTGCCTCCTGCTGCTCAGCTCCTGTGGGGACCCTCCAACAGTCAGGCCCAGGCAGGGCCCTGTACCACCTCCCCCAAATCCACATGAGCTGCCCCCTTGACACCTCCGCCCTCTTGTGATTTCCAGAGGTCCACAGGCCACTAGCCTGAGCCCCTCTCAGATGCTACCTACATTCCCCAGAAACCTTGTGGTCACGGGCCAGCCTGGGCCTGCAGTGTCCCAGCTTCCTGCGTCTTCTCAGCCTTCTCCTGGACTCGCCACAAGTACTGGGAGCTCCACACCTCTAATTTTTTTTATTTTTTTTTTTTTTTGAGTTGGAGTCTCACTCTGTCGCCCAGACTGGAGTGCAGTGGCCGCTTCCAGCCACCGCAGCCTCGACCTGTTGAGCTCTGGCGATCCTTCCGCCTCAGCCTTCCAAGTAGCTGGAACTACAGGCGTGCACTACCACACCCAGCTAATTTTTGATTTATTGTAGAGATGAGGTCTCACCAAGTTGCCCAGGTGGGTCTCGAACCCGTGAGCTCAGGCAATCCACTCACCTCAGCCTCCCCAAGCGAGGGATCACAGGCTGAGCCACCAAGCCTGGCTACCTTTCTCTTTTTTTTTTCCTTCCATCTGCCAAGCCCCCAACAGCAAGTCTTCCTGGAGGGACTGAGCCCTCGAGTGTGAGATCATCGAGGCTGCTGTTTTGCAAGACTCCCAGAAACCCCAAAAGGGACAACAGATCCGGAACTTACAGGGAAGGTGGTCCAGGAGCAGTCACCTGGACAGGAAAAACCCGCTCTTGGTTGTAAAAGGCACACAGAAGCCAGGCTCGTGTAATCCCGCGTCTTTGGGAGGCTGAGTTGAGTGGATTGCCTGAGCCCGTGGGTTTGAGACCCGCCTGGGCAGCGAGACCTCATCTCTACAATAAATCAAAAAATTAGCCGGGCGTGGTAGTGCATGCCTGTAATTCCAGCTACTCGGAAGGCTGAGGCAGAAGGATCGTCGGAGCCCAGCAGGCGAGGCTGCGGTGGCTGGGAGCGGCTACTGCACTCCAGTCTGGGCGACCGAGTGAGACTCCAACTCAAAAAAAAGGCACACAGTTTATAGAGCATTTTACATTGGGCAGAGTGCAAGGGTAAGCGTGGAAAGGGTAGGGTTTCTAGTGTGCAGGCATAGTATGAGAAGGCACTTATACAATCACGTGTACACAGAATGACTATGGATTCTCTCTAGGGGTGGGATTCTTAGTATAATGAACCAAAGTGAACTAAAGGTACCAAAAGTGATGGGCATTGATCTAGGCATGCCTGATCAGGTCTGAACCAACCTGGGGGGCCAACTGCCTCAAAAGTGCACAAGATATGGTCAGCAGGGGTGGAGAACACCATGCCCTTGACCTCAGCATGACCTGCATGCCCAAGCTGGAGCTTGAGGGGCGAGGGACATCATGGATTGGCCACTCCCAGGACCCCTCCCTAGTCTCTAACCCCCTACTCAGGGCCATATCCAGGGTGTGCTCATGTTGTCACTGTATGTGTCACCCCACAGCTGCTCTTGGACCCCAGGGGCTGGTGGTTGAGGCTGCTCTGGCTGGAAAGTGAGTCCATGGGCTGGGACTCTCTGGGGAAGGCCCTCCCCTTTCTGATCCCCACCTGGGGAGTTTGCTGGAAGCCCTCGAAGACGACAGGCCAGACTCCGACGGTACAGGACAGTCTTTGGGCAGAAAGCATGTAATATCCAGGCCAGTAGGTGGCAATGCTGTGGGGTGAGGTGGGAGCTTGTGCCCACAGCTCCAGGGGAAGGGGATGACTTAGAGATCCTGAGTTGTGGAGTGCAGCCATTGTCTTGTGAACGTCCACGTGTGGCAGAAGACCGATAGGAAGGTGAGGGCTGGACCAGGAGACCACCCTCCTCTCATCTAATTTACCCACCAGGAGTAGTGCTGGGGAGGGCCAGGAGGCTCACAGGACGGCCCAGAGAAGGACAGGCACCAGGCTGAGCAGCAGCTCCCCCACCATGCCCCAGAGGCCAAGCCCCACTCCGGCAGCCCCACTAGAGGTTCTTTTCATAGGAAGTCACATTCAGCTTTCAGTCTTCAGATCAGTCTGTCCATTCTGCCTTTCTATGGGGAAAGATTCTCTAGGGACAATAGGAGGATTCTGCTGATAATCTGGACACTGAGAGCCACAACCCTTGCTAATACAGCTGGTCTTTCCTGTGGGCAAGAAAGGAGGACATCTGGCACTGAAGGCCTGCTTGAGGCCACTTGGATCCTTCCCCACAGACCCTTGAAAGCCAGTGGGGACACTGAGGCAACCAGAACAGAGCAAACCTGTGCCCAGAGCCCATTCTGAGACAGATCAGCCTGACCCAGTCTCTGAGCTCTGCCCCCAGAACTGAGCTTTCACCAGGCTGGGGAGCCTCAAGGCAGAGCCCCTGGAATGCTGCCCCGGCTAGTGCCCCCACCCAGAGGTTTCTTCATCCTACTGACAGTGCCAGTGATCACAGGACAACTTTAAGCCTCCATGGGGTAGGAGTGGCACAAGCTAGGGTCCAAGACATCAGAGCAGTGGAAGCACTCAATGTCCAGACCTTCAGTGGGGTAGGGAAGGTGCAGATCAGGATCAGAGGCTGAAGGGTGGGTTCCATCCCTCACGGCAGCATGAGCAGAAGGCCTGGGAGCACAGAGGGGTCTGGCCCATCTTCACATCATGCCTGGGCAGTGAAGTGTGGGGCTCTTGGCTTTTCATTGGCCACTCAAAATTGTGGGCAGCGTCCCACTGGCATCTGGAGCCTCCGCATGGCATTCAGAAGCTCTCTCAGTCCCACATTCATGCATCTTCCTCTTTCCCCTCTCCCTCAGCACCCCTATCTCCACTCCCCACTCATCTGGCTTCACCCACAACAGCATGGAGCCAGTGACCTTCATGGCCTGGGTCCAGACACAGTGAGGGCTCAGCTCAGTGTGGTGGCTCTAAGCCTGAGATCCTCTGCCCCCTTCTGTTTTGTTTTGTGTTTTGAGTCGAGGTCTCACTCTTCTGCCCAGGCAGGAGTGCAGCAGCACAATCAGCGATTGCTGCAGCCTCGACCTCCTGGGCTCAAGCAATTTTTCTGCTTCAGCCTCCCAAGTAGCTGCGACTACAGACATGTACCACCATGCCCAGCAAATGTTTTGATTTTTTGAGTCTTGCTATATTGTCCAGGCTGGTCTCAAACTCCTGGGCTCAAGCAACCTCTGCCTCCCAAAGTGCTGGGATTATAGGCATGAACCAAGAGAGGGGTTGTTCCCTGGGGTGTTAGGAGGAAGGATGCCTGAGGTGAAGAAATTCTGATTCTGACTGGGGGTGGGGAGGATTCTGGGCTCAGAGCCTCTGAGTTTCTGTTTCCTGGTGCTCAGGGCTCAGTTTCAGTTCCCTGGTGTACCAGGGTGTTGAAAGGAGGAAAAAGCTGGTATGAGACTCAGAGGTCAAGGCTGGCGCCAGGCATGCCCAGGACGAGAGTCTCCCGCAGAGCCCCTTGCTAGCAGCCACTGTGCAGATAGAGCCTAGGAGGGGCCAGGCAAGGGCAAAGTTGAGTCTCAAGCTCAGCATTGAGAACCTGGGCCAGGCACCCCCTGTTTCCTGTACAGGGAGTGAGACCACTCGTAACTG